AAGCACAACAACACTTAATTCTGTCTTATTAACAAGCATTGCCGCTACAAGGTGCTTGTGCACCTGTGTTGAACACATCACAGAAGGGGATAGAGAACAAGAGATACCTTAGCTGCAGCTAGAGTCCATGATTTACAGAAAGGAACATTTTTCCCTTTATATAGGGAGAAAGAAATGAAATAATGAATGTATTAAAAACATGAATGAAACATTACATTAAACACCACATAATGCATAGTAGAAACATAAGAATGCAGTATTGTAAATAAATTAAACACCAGAGAGAACATTAACTTTGTGCCACTAAAAGAGAAACTAAATGTAAAATAGGGCCTTGGTGGATACTTTGGTATATACTACTTGATATAGTTAAAAGAAGCATTTCCATTTATCATTCTTTCATCATATTGACACCATCCACTGACTAGGGAAAGCAGAGCTGTAAGTGCTAAGTGCTTCATCATATTGAAACCACCCATTGACTAGGGAAAGCAGAGCTGTAAATTCTACAGTAAGTGTCTGCTTGCTTTGGTTATGTACATTACCATATTTACCAAATATGGTACCCATAAGCTGCATCCAGAAATTTGGAATGTGAAAAAGAACTTGACAAAGCACAAGTTACCTTTCTGAACAGAAAAGCTTGAAATGAAGAATATTCTCTGATTTAAAATAACTAAAGTAAAACAGAGGATTTGAAAGTAGGGGGAATGGATGCTGATCACAAGGATTTTTGGAAAAATTTGATTAAAGCAAACTGACAATCTCGCTTAGCCTAAAGCAAACACAAGGGCTGAATGCAAAAGTGTACTGAGATCTCTTGTTCATTTTGGAAAACTAAAAATGAATATAAAAGTTTATTTTATCACTTGATCGCAACAACATGCCAGGAACAAGCCATACTGTTCAACACTATTATGCACTCTTGTGATAAATATGCCAACAACCAGATCAGCTTCTGATTTGTTTTACTTGTACTCAAATATAAGTCACATGCCAATTGTACTACCTTGAAATTTGGAAAAGAAGTGCAGCTTACAGTATATCCGGGGAAATGCTGTACTATTCTCATGTCCAGACAGAGACTGGTATAGTTTTACAAATATTTTTTGTCAATCAATTTTAAAAGTAAAAAACTATCATCAAACACAAAGATACCACTGAAAAGAAAGACAAAAGTACTAAATCAGTATACAGTAAGTCTAATAAGTAATGAATATAGGGCTAATATTGTATGATAATTGGCAGTTGTTGGAGTGTGCTGTTTTTCTCATTTTCTTTCTGTTCCTCAATTTCAGTTCTAACTCTCACTTCACAGTCATTATTCCTGACCGTATGTCAACTGATGAGCACCAAGGCAAAAAATGTGGACTGCTACTGATGTACTAATCACATTTCCAGGGGTTGTGCATGCTCCACTCCTCAGCCTTGACTGTGTAGAAATTGACAAATGCCTAGGCAACTCATGTATGATTACCTGTAG